AGGAGTGGAGTACAACCACCTGGCAGGTAGATGTTTGCTATCGTCTATGAGTGAGTACAACAGCACGTGGCAGGTTTAATGTTGCTATCGTCTAGGGAAGTGAGGATTACACGCACTTGGCAGGGTTATAGATGTTTGCTATCGTCTAGGCGTGGAGTACAAACATCAACGTGCAGGTTAGATGTTTGCTATCGTCTAGGAGTGGAGTCACAAACGTGGCAGGGTTAGATTTTGCTTGCTATTCTCTAGGAGTGGCAGTACAACAAGCACCTGGCAGGGTTTAATTTTTGCTATCTCTAGGAGTGAGGATACAAACACACCTGGCAGTGTTACGATGTTTGCTATCGTCTAGGAGTGGAGTAACAACAGCACCTGGCAGGGTAGACTGTTTGCTATCGTCTAGGAGTGGAGTAGCGACACACCTGGCAGGGTAGATTTTTGCTATTCGCTAGGATGGAGTACAACAGCACTTTGGCAGGGTTCGAATGTTTTGCTATCGTCTATGAGGGAGTACAACAGCACCTGGCAGGGTTAGTGTTTTGCTATCGTCTAGAGTTGAGGAAGTACAACAGCACCTGGCGGGTTTAGATGTTTGCTAATCCGTCCTATGAGTGGGAGTACAACAGCACCTGGCAAGGGTTAGATGTTTGCTTCGTCTAGGAGTGGAGTAACAACAGCACCTGGCAGGTTGAGTTTGCTATCGTCTAGGGTGGAGTACAACAGCACCTGGCAGGGTTATATTTTGCTTCGTCTAGGAGTGAGGATACAACAGCAACGGGGCAGGGTTAGATTTTGCTTATCGTCTAGGAATTGAGGAGTACAAAAAGCCGTGGCAGGGTTAGATGTTTGCTATGTCTAGGAGTTGGAGGAGTAGCAACAGCACGTGGCAGGGGTGATGTTGCTAATCGTCTAGGATGGAGTACCACAGCACCTGGGCAGGTTGATGTTTGGCTATCGGGTTATGTGGGAAAGTGGAGTCTAGGAGTGGGAGTACAACATCACGTGCAGGGTTTGTTTGCTATCGTTCTATAAGTGAGGAGCACAACAGCACGTTCAGGGTTGATGTTTGCTATCGTCTAGATTGGAGTACCACAGCACGTGCAGGGTTTGTAGATGTTTTGCTATCGTCTAGGAGTGGGAGTACAACAGCACCTGGCAGGGTTAGATGTTTGCTATCGTCTATGAGTGAGGAGTACAACAGCAACCTGGCAGGGTTAGATGTTTGCTATCGTCTAGGAGTGAGTCAACAGCACGTTGGCAGGGTAGTGTTTGCTTATCGTCTCAGGAGGAGGAGTACAACAGCAGTGGGGCAGGGTAAGATGTTGCTATCGTTCTAGGAGTGGAGTACAACAGCACGTGGCAGGGTTAGATGTTTGCTTATCGTCTAGGAGTGAGGAGTACAACAGCACGTGGCAGGGTTAGATGTTTGCTATCGTCTAGGAGTGAGGAGTACAACAGCACGTGGCAGGGTTAGATGTTTGCTATCGTCTAGGAGTGGGTACAACAGCACGTGGCAGGGTTAGATGTTTGCTATCGTCTAGGAGTGGAGTACAACAGCACGTGGCCAGGGTTAGATGTTTGCTATCGTCTAGGAGTGGGTCACAACAGCACGTGGCAGGTGTTAGATGTTTGCTATCGTCTGGAGTGGAGTACAACAGCACGTGGCAGGGTTAGATGTTTGCTATCGTCTAGGAGTGAGGAGTACAACAGCACCTGGCAGGGTTAGATGTTTGCTATCGTCTAGGAGTGGGAGTACAACAGCACCTGGCAGGGTTAGATGTTTGCTATCGTCTAGGAGTGGGAGTTACAAACAGCACGTGGCAGGGTTAGATGTTTGCTATCGTCTAGGAGTGAGGAGTACAAACAGCACCTGGCAGGGTTTAGATGTTTCTATCGTCTAGAGTGAGGAGTACAACAGCCGTGCAGGGTTTAGCTGTTTGCTAATCGTCTAGGGTGGGAGCACACCTCACGTGGCAGGGTTCGACGATGTTTGCTATCGTCTAGAGTGGAGGAGTAACATCAGTGCAGGGTTAGATGTTTGTGCTTATGCATCTAGGAGTGAGGAGTACAAACAGCACGTGGCAGGGTTGATGTTTGCTATAGCTAGAGTGATGAGTAAAAAAAAAAACAACAGCACGTTGCAGGGTTATATGTTTGCTATCGTCTAGGAGTGATGAGTACACATCACGGCCAGGGTTAGAGATGTTTTGCTTAATCATCTAGGAGTGATGGTACACAGCACGTGGCAGGGTTTAGATGTTTTGGCTATCTTATGGAGTGTGGAGTACAACGCACGTGGGCAGGGTTAGATGTTTGCTATCTCTAGGAGTGAGGGTACAACAGTCACGTGGCAGGGTTAGATGTTTGCTATCAGTCTAGGAGTGGAGTACAACAGCACCTGGCATGTAGATGTTTGCTATCGTCTAGGAGTGAGGAGCACAACAGCAACTGGCAGGTTAGATTTGCTATCGTCTAGGAGTGAGGAGTACACCAGACGTGGCAGGGTTAGATGTTTGCTTATCATCTAGAGTGAGGATTACAACAGCACCTGGCATGTTAATGTTTGCTATCGTCTAGGAGTGAGGAGTACAACCGCACGTGGCAAGGGTTAGATTGTTTTCTATCGTCTATGAGTGATTACAACACACCTGTCAGGGCTAGAATTTTTGCTATCGTCAGGAGTGGAGTACAACAGCACGTGGCAGGGTTAGATGTTTTGCTATCGTCTAGAGTGGGAGTACAACATCAGCACCTGGCAGGGTTAGATGTTTTTGCTATCGTCTAGGATGGAGGAGTACAACAGCACGTGGCATGGTTAGATGTTTTTGCTATCGTCTAGGAGTGGAGTAAACAGCACGTGGGCAGGGTTAGATGTTTGCTATCGTCTCGAGTGGAGTACAACAACAGCACGTGCAAGGGTTGATTTGCTATCTTCTAGGAGTGTGGAGTACAACAGCACGTGGATGGTTAGATGTTTGCTATCGTCTAGGAGTGGAGTAACAACAGCACCTGGCCGGTTTTAGATGTTTGCTATCGTCTAGGAGTGATGGAGTACAACAGCAACGTGGTCCGAGGGTTAGGATGTTTGTATCGTCTAGGCTGGAGTAACAAACCAAAAGCCAACGGGCGGGTTAGTATGTTTGCTATATCGTCTAGGATTGGAGTACACGCCGTGGCAGGGTAGATGTTTGCTTATCGTCTAGAGTGAGTACAACAGCACGTGGCAGGGTTAGGTGTTTTGCTATCGTCATAGGAGTTATGATACAACACAGCAACGTTTCAGGTTAGATGTTTGCTATCGTCGGGAGTGAGGAGTACAACACAACCTGGAAGGGTTAGATGTTTGCTTATCATCTAAGGAGTGAGGATACAACGCACGTGGCGGGGGTTAGATGTTTGCTTCGTCTAGTAGTGAGGGTACAACAGCACCTTGCAGGTTAGATGTTTGCTATCGTCTAGGAAGTGGATACAACCACGTGGCAGGGTTAGATGTTTTGCTATCTCTAGGAGTGGGAGTACAACAGCACCTGGCAGGGTTAGATGTTTGCTATCGTCTGGAGTGGAGTCAACACACTTGGCAGGGTTAATGTTTGCTATCGTCTAGGAGTGAGGAGTACAACAGCACGTGGCAGGGTTAGATGTTTGCTATCGTCTAGAGTGAGGATTACAACAGCACGTGGCAGGGTTAGATGTTTGCTATCGTCTAGGAGTAGAAGTACAACAGCACGTGGCAGGGTTATATTTGCTTATCAGCTAGGAGTGAGGAGTAACAAACAGCACCTGGCAAGGGTGATGTTTGCTATCGTCTAGGGTGAGGAGTACAACAGCACGTGGCATGGTTAGATGTTTTGCGTATCGTCTAGGAGTGGAGTACAACAGCACCTGGCAGGGCTAGAGTTTGCTATCGTCTAGGAGTGAGGAGTACAACAGCACCTGGCAGGGCTAGATGTTTGCTATCGTCTAGGAGTGGAGTACAACAGCACCTGGCAGGGTTAGATGTTTGCTATCGTCTAGGAGTGAGGAGTACAACAGCACCTGGCAGGGTTAGATGTTTGCTATCGTCTAGGAGTGGAGTACAACAGCACCTGGCAGGGTTAGATGTTTGCTATCGTCTAGGAGTGGAGTACAACAGCACGTGGCAGGGTTAGATGTTTGCTTATCGTCTAGGAGTGGAGTACAACAGCACGTGGCAGGGTTAGATGTTTGCTATCGTCTAGGAGTGGAGTACAACAGCACCTGGCAGGGTTAGATGTTTGCTATCGTCTAGGAGTGGAGTACAACAGCACCTGGCAGGGTTAGATGTTTGCTATCGTCTAGGAGTGAGGAGTACAACAGCACGTGGCAGGGTTAGATGTTTGCTATCGTCTAGGAGTGAGGAGTACAACAGCACGTGGCAGGGTTAGATGTTTGCTATCGTCTAGGAGTGGAGTACAACAGCACCTGTCAGGGTTAGATGTTTGCTTATCGTCTAGGAGTGAGGAGTACAACAGCACGTGGCAGGGTTAGATGTTTGCTATCGTCTAGGAGTGGAGTACAACAGCACGTGGCAGGGTTAGATGTTTGCTATCGTCTAGGAGTGAGGAGTACAACAGCACGTGGCAGGGTTAGATGTTTGCTATCGTCTAGGAGTGAGGAGTACAACAGCACGTGGCAGGGTTAGATGTTTGCTATCGTCTAGGAGTGAGGAGTACAACAGCACGTGGCAGGGTTAGATGTTTGCTATCGTCTAGGAGTGAGGAGTACAACAGCACCTGGCAGGGTTAGATGTTTGCTATCGTCTAGGAGTGAGGAGTACAACAGCACCTGGCAGGGTTAGATGTTTGCTATCGTCTAGGAGTGGAGTACAACAGCACGTGGCAGGGTTAGATGTTTGCTATCGTCTAGGAGTGGAGTACAACAGCACGTGGCAGGGTTATTGTGGGGTGTGTGTGTAGGAATGCATTGCTGTGCGCTAACATCTCTCTCACGTTCGAAGGGGTGTTACTCCTTGCTACCTACAGATGCACTACCACAAGCTAAAAGTAGCCAAAGTTCCGCTGCGGGAGAGCATGTCCTTCTGTGGTAGGTGTAAACTGCTGTCATACACACAGTGTTTCCATCACTAGGTTTTTAGCATACGGTTGAGGTATAATATTATGCCATTTAGCAGACGCTTTTATCCAAAGGGACTTACAGTCATGTGTGCATACATTTTTACATATGGGTGGTTCCCGGGGGATCGAACCCACTACCCTGGCGTTACAAGCGCCGTGCTCTACCAATTGAGCTACAGAGGACCAGTTGAATAGTTGAATGCGAGTCACTATGATCAGTGACCGGTTACATAACTTCCGAGGGAGAGGAAGTGTAGTCCTGTTTTTAATGGCGTATTGATCTCCAGCACTATAAAAGTATACATATGTGAAAATGGCGTGTTTCTACATTCTGAAAGATAAGAAAAAGCTCCTTTAGGAAGCTCCACGTCATCACATGTAAAAAAAATACACTGGAAATCCTCTTTAAATATAATGATGAGGAAGATGTTGTTTGCTGGACACATTTACTGATTTAATGTATATGTGTTTTACTTTCAGAGATCATTGATTTCCTGTACAGTAGTGTTCTGCCCCAGTTTGAAGAGCTCCTCCGCCAGGTTCAGACGGAGTCAGGGGAGACTGAGTCCGGAGATCTCCGTCTGGTTCAGACGGAGTCAGGGGAGACTGAGTCCGGAGACGAGCCACGAGAGCTCTTCCTGCTCTCAGAGATCTTTGAAAATGAGGACGACTGAGATTATTACAGCGATGTTCAGAACAGATAATCAATACACAGAACACAGATCTGTCTGAGGCTCAATGACCCAGGGATTCTGGATGAAAAAGGGGCTTATGTGGTGGGCGTGGCAGGGGGGGCTGTCAGCGCGGCTGAATTTTAGAGACCCCCATCTTGGCTGTGTAGATAATGTCTTTGCATTTTTAAGCCAATTTCCGGCTATTCTACACATTTCTCCATGGAGCTGAGAAAAAATCTTTCAGTTTTAAAGCAAATGTCCTGAAGTTCTCTGCATTTTGTCTGTTATCTTTTGCTCAAACATAACGAAATTGTTACTGCTAAATTCCTTGTTTTTGGAATTTCAATTCTCCCTGACTGTCTTGCTTTTATTTTGGTGATTGTTACTTCTTAAAAGATTACATTATTAAGAAATATAGGTCCATTTATTTTAATTTCGACAAAAGAAAAAGAAATTGGCCTCCAGCTCAATGATTCCAATGACAGAAAAATACCTGTGATGCACTGTGGAGGTAGCAGGGTGACCCACTGGGGAGGTAGCAGGGTGCTCTTCTCAAGGAGGATCAATAACCCACTGGTGAGGTAGCAGGGTGCTCTTCTCAAGGAGGATCAATAACCCACTGGGGGAGGTAGCAGGGTGCTCTTCTCAAGGAGGATCAATAACCCACTGGGGAGGTAGCAGGGTGCTCTTCTCAAGCAGGATCAATGTCCCACAGGCCACAGAATTGAGGATTCAACTCATTCCTTGAGGTGGTTAACAACGATTTTTATTGAGTTTGGAGAAACCCTGTGACCAGCTGTGTAATGGTTTTGTTCTGTATTGTATTTGCTGAATATCTGACAGAATTGTTTTATATTTTAGAATAAATTGCTCTGTCTTGATTGGTGTCTTCATCCACTGTGAGTATCTTGTAAACCAAAGCCTTCTGCTGATCTCTTCGGCAGATTCTGTATGTAAACTGAATAAGGGATGGAATGATGTGATGAGGAGCGGCAGTGGCTAGAAGGCCGGTGACGACTCTTCTGATAGCCAACATATGGGAACAAATGTGAACCATGATGAAGACCAGCGATGAAGATACGTCTAGCGACTTGCCCAAGGCCCAGCGTAACGACTCGAGATTTATGACATTGTCTGGATGGCTGACCATTAATTTAGTCGATTCAAAGCCACGGAGAAGGTGTGTTTGACTCTTGTGATAGCCAACATACGGTCAGCCATAAACATCATATTATGAATCAAACGCACCTTATCCGTGGCTTTCTCCAGGGCGGGACGTTCCCACCGACCCTGAGAGTACGAACCCCGTAGGAGGCGTGAAGAGGGATGAAAACTTGAATCGACTAAATTAATGTTAATTAAATTGCCTTGTTTGGTTTGTTTCAAGAGTTCATAAAGAGCTGCGAATTTTAGTATGTTTCGTTGTACTGTAAATACTATGGATTTATTTTTACAGAGTTACTGTATGAAAAATGTATGCACTCACTAACTGTAAGTCGCTCTGGATAAGAGTGTCTGCTAAATGACTATAATGTAATCTGTTCGTCGGACGGTGGTCAGTTCATAGAGTGAGCTACACAGATGCTCTGGTCATTTTAATTGTGATGATTAGATTAAATAGTACGTGTGGTGTTTTTATGCCTTTTGTTTGTTTTGGCCAACAAAGCAAAGTTATGTTAATTAGACGATGGGGGTTATTGAGATCCGTCGTAGTTAAGGTTCGGTGTTTATACTTACAGTACCAGTCAAAAGTTTGGACACACCTACTCATTCAAGGGTTTGTCTTTATTTTTACTATTTTCTACATTGACTGAAAATATGTCTGGTGTTCAACCTTCCCAAATTCTCTCATGTTACCCCGCTCCTCCGCACACTCCACTGGCTGCATCAGAGGACCTGGCCTCCACAATCCCCCGACCTCAACCCAATTTAGATGGTTTGGGATGAGTTGGACCGCAAAGTGAAGGAAAAGCAGCCAACAAGTGCTCAGCATATGTGGGAACTCCTTAAAGACTGTTGGAAAAGCATTCCAGGTGAAGCTGGTTGAGAGAATGCCAAGTGTGTGCAAAGCTGTCATCAAGGCAAAGGGTGGCTATTTGAAGAATCTCAAATATAAAATATATTTTGCTTTGTTTAACACTTTTTTGGTTACTACATGATTCCATATGTGTTATTTCAAAATGTTGATGTCTTCACTATTATTCTACAATGTACAAATAAAGAAAAGAAGGATTACTTTATACTATTCCAGGTATTCCTTAAAGAGGTGGGGAAGGTTTTCAGTGACTCCGCTGTCCTGGCGTCGTGAGGGAGCTTGTTCCACCATTGGGGTGCCAGAGCAGCGAACAGTTTTGACTGGGCTGAGCGGGAACTGTGCTTCCGCAGAGGTAGGGGGGCCAGCAGGCCAGAGGTGGATGAACGCAATGCCCTCGTTTGGGTGTAGGGACTGATCAGAGCCTGAATGTACGGAGGTGCCGATCCCCTCACAGCTCCGTAGGCAAGCACCATGGTCTTGTAGCAGATTCGAGCCTCAACTGGAAGCCAGTGGAGTGTGCGGAGGAGCGGGGTAACATGAGAGAACTTGGGAAGGTTGAACACCAGACGGGCTGCAGCGTTCTGGATAAATTGTAGGGGTGTAATGGCACAGGCAGGGAGCCCAGCCAACAGCGAGTTGCAGTAATCCAGACGGGAGATGACAAGTGCCTGGATTAGGACCTGTGCCGCTTTCTGTGTAAGGTAGGGTCGTACTCTGAGAATGTTGTAAAGCATGAACCTGCAGGATCGGGTCACCGCTTTGATGTTAGCGGAGAACGACAGGGTGTTGTCCAGGGTCACGCCAAGGTTCTTTGCACTCTGGGAGGAGGACACAATGGAGTTGTCAACCGTGATGACGAGATCATGGCGCTAGCGGGCAGTCTTTCCCCGAGGTTCAGCTTGAGGTGGTGATCCGACATCCACACTGATATGTCTGCCAGACATGCAGAGATGCGATTCGCCACCTGGTTATCAGAAGGGGGAAAGGAGAAAATTAATTGTGTGTCGTCTGCGTAGCAATGATAGGAGAGACCATGTGAGGATATGACAGAGCCAAGTGACTTGGTGTATAGAGAGAATAGGAGAGGGCCTAGAACTGAGCCCTGGGGGACACCAGTAGTGAGAGCTAACTCTCTCTGGCTTTGTTGGCCAAAACAAACAAAATACATAAAAATAAATACATAAAAACACCACACGTATGACGAAATGTTGACGTTTTTGTTCACTTTGGTCTACAGCAAAGGTTTTTTCGCTTGTTCGTGCACACCAACTATTTTCTTGAGGCAAGCCGAAGTTCGGTAGTGGAAGGCCAGTGTTGCCAACTTAGCGACTTTGTCGCTATATTTAGCGACTATTCAGACCCCTCTAGCGACACATTTTCAAAAAAGCGACTAGCGACAAATCTATCGACTTTTTCTGGTGTTATTGGAGACTTTTGGAGACTCTGACGTGAAAGCACGTATCGTTCTTACTCTTCTCAACGAGCAGTGGGTGCTGCCGTGGGACCCACCCCACACCCCTGGGCCCCACCCCCGTCCCAAAGCACTCACAGGCGGCGCAGCAGTCCCTCCCAGCTGCAGTCAGAGCAGGAGATGTTCCCCCCTCTGCGTCCAGACTGCAAATGAATCTCGCATGCTGGAAGCCGCCACTGGCTGATCCCGCCCTGGCTGATCCCACCCTGGCTGATCCCACCCTGGCTGATCCCGCCCTGGCTGATCCCGTCCTGGCTTACATTCAGGGCAGGATGTAAATGTAGGGTATTTTTTACCCACTTTCTGTCTCTCCCACGACGTTATTCCTCTCTCCTAGAGCGTTATTCCTCTCTCCTACAGCGTTATTCCTCTCTCCTACAGCGTTATTCCTCTGTCCTACAGCGTTATTCCTCTCTCCTACAGCGTTATTCCTCTGTCCTACAGCGTTATTCCTCTCTCCTACAGCGTTATTCCTCTGTCCTACAGCGTTATTCCTCTCTCCTACAGCGTTATTCCTCTCTCCTACAGCGTTATTCCTCTGTCCTACAGCGTTATTCCTCTCTCCTACAGCGTTATTCCTCTCTCCTACAGTGTTATTCCTCTCTCCTACAGCGTTATTCCTCTCTCCTACAGCGTCCATCACAATTACATGCACATGGCCAATTATGCAAATTAGGTGATGACGTCATTTAGTGACTTCTTGTGACTTTTAGGACAGCCAATAGCTGCTCTCCTTACTGAGGAGTTGGCAACACTGCGGAAGGCTATGGCCCTTCGTCAGTGATTGGTCAACTGTAGGGGTGATGTAAGTTTCTTCTTGATTCAGCCCGAAACTCAACATTGCGAATGACAACAACGATAACTTCAAGAATCGCTTGGACGAGGAGGTAACATGCCGTCTTCACCAGAGGATGATGTATGTTGTATTTTCTATTGTAGTCGAGGAAAAGAGTAGCCATGTTTGCTAACAATAGCTAGCGCTAGCTACTTGGATGGCTAGTGGCTAGCTAGCTTAGCAGCATACTTGTCCAGGGAAAGCAAGCCAACCATCTAAACTAAAGATCTATACAACTTTTGAGCAAACATAATTTTGTCATAGAAAGAAAATCATAAGTTTCCCACATTGGTAACATCAAAGTCAATGTTTGGTAGCAAGGTCCAGCTAGCTAATCATTTGCATCATTATAGTCTATTGTAGTCTCGGTTCATGATATTTGATATGTTGTTTATTGATCATTTTGAATGGTTTGGATATGCGTACTAAATAGCCCTCTAACGTTCTTTTGTTGTTGTTTTTTCAAGGCACAAACATCAGTGAATGGGGACACTGCCTGTTCACCGGCCCCCAGCCCATCTGCTGCACTGAGCTGCAGTGCAGAATTGGAACCATCTCCATGCAGGACCTGGGCCACCTCCAAGAGCTACTCCACTGGCTTGTTCCTCAGCAGCAGCTGCAGTAGCAGGCTGGGAGGAGAAGGGAGAAAGACCTGCTGA